ACACACACACACACACACACAAATCCACATACTTAAGCACCAATACTATATACATTATAACACACACTCATTTACAATAATATGTGCAGTTTTTGACAAACGTGTTTTACATCGGCAATGTTGACAAAAATTTTTGACAAAAGTTTTGTGAAGTAGAACAGCTTGACTAGCATAATCATGATAGGCAAAACGAATTGGCCAAAACAATTTATAGGTCAATAATATGCAAAAAAGGTTTTTAAAAGTTTTTTTTTTTCTGTTTTTTTAAGATGATCACTACTAGCTAGGTCAAGGTTTTGACAGATTTTAATATATTCGATTAGCAGTACTAATACAGTATATTACTGGAACAGACTGGTTAAGGACATTTAAAATGTTGACAGTTGTAACTATGATAGGTAAACAAAAGCAAAACCCAGTTTGAAAGTGCACAAAACACCTTATACCAGTAAATAAGATGAGAAAAAAAATGCCATACAGTTAACTGACCTCAGTGCTGGTTTATTAGTGGCACAAGCCAGCTCAGCTTGGTAAAACAGTTTGACTGGTTCTCATTGGTTGAATATTTTTGTGGACAATGAGGGGCCTTGGAGCCATTAATGTTGAGAACCACTGGACTAGTTTTCAACCATAATGGGTGAAAAGCCAAACCAGTAAGAAAGTGCCCAAAACATACCAACCACTGAATAATTGCAGATTTGTAGGATGAATAAATATTACATGCTTGGTCAAAAATCTTTTAACAAAAATGTAAATGTAAATGTGAATGTGAATTGTAAATGTAAGTGTGGAAAAAACAAAAACAATAGTTCCACCTTAAAAATCCATCTACATCCCACAGAGGGTCCAAATTGAGGTGTTTAATAGAGGCAGAATTTAATTGACATTGGCTAATTAGCAGCTAATGCGTTACAACATGCATGGCTTGAACACACATACGCAGGACAGGTTAATTCATTCATTCATCAGTTTTTCTCTAAAAGTAATTATACTGAGCTCTAAATTATGACTGTGCTATCCCATCCCCATTACTAACAAAAGCTCCTAGATAACGCACTTCTACTCATTCACTCCCCTTCTCAGAGTCTATACATCATAAAAGAGAGCTTTAAATTCTTAATTTGGCTGGCATGGAATACACATTGTTAAAATAGGAAGAGTTACTAAGGGCTGATCACAGGCGATTTGAAGTAGGGGGATGTCAATGTCTCCATTTGAAAACAATGGCCCTAATTGTTTTATTTCAGTCTATTAATCTTAAACAGTCCCACAAAAAGGTTTCTCCAGTGATGAATAGTGGGACATTCCAATTCCCACTTAATAGCAATTAATTTTCTGATAGCCATGGAAGTTTGACTAGTTTTAATTAGTCTGTGAGGAACAGGGAAGCCGGTGACAGGCTGACTAAATGCATTCTCATCAAAGACTAACAGGCCAGTCCACCTGACCTCTCTTCGAATCACTGTGCCTTTAATTTCCTATTTACACTTCAAAATAACTCATTTGCATATATCCTGTGCACACTTACCCTCATTTCTGAAAACAATAAGACAATTTAACCAGTTTAATTAATTGGAGATGTTTTAAAGGAAAGATTTGCAACTGGTTCCTTATAGTCAGTCTCTCTCTCTCTCTCTCTCTCTCTCTATATATAT